CTTGCCTCCATGTCACTTGCATTCACCCTTGTTGCACTGGGACGTCTGGCTGGGTTCAGCCTGCTGCTACTACTGTGAGGCTCCCAACCTATGTCTGGAATGATGGGCAGAGGACAGGAGTTTGCAGAGCTTTTAAGATCCATCTTTCCTCCTGCACAGCACATGGAGCAAAAACAGAGATTTTCTGTGAGGGAAAGACCTGCTACTATTATATGAATGAGCTAGGTATGGTAAATGCATGTCTTTGGAGGAAAAAGCCTAAAACTAGCAATTGATCCATCACCTAAAAGGTTTCCCAAGCTATTAAAAGCACCATAATTAGTGCCACATCCTCCAGTTTCCCCTGAATTTTCTGGGCCAGGGAGTTATAGCACTTGGAGGAGCTGCACCAGGGAGGAGGAGTGTAGGGAAAGTCAGGAAACAGCAGTAGAACGCCAAGGTATGCTGGATAAGGGGCTGCACCAGACTAGGTTTATAAGGATTATTTTTCACTGGTTTCTAGATTACCTATTTTGTCTATTTATATTGATCAAATAATGACATCTTTGCAAAAACTCACTTCATCCATTGCTCTGTGATTATAGAAGAGCTGCTGTATTGTAACATGGGTCTTCATTTTTCTCTAAGGTGGAGAACATGAACATATTCACACAGTAAATGAAGAAAATACATTGAATTCAGAGGAGATTCTCTTATAGATGAGCAAACCACTTTCCAGAGCATTGCCTAAGTGTAGATAGAGTATAAATGGCCTTCAGTGGAGTATGTAAATAATTTATTAGGCAAGAAATGAGAATAGCCCATTTTACTTTTAGAATTATAGTGAGATTCCTTTTTTATTTATAAGAAAGCTTTTCATGACAGAATCAGTCATCTGATCACATACCTTTTCTGTCTTTTGAAAAACATAATGCTAATGAGTGTTCTCTTCTTCCTTTTTATAAATGTGAATTCTTATTACACACATTTTATTATTGGTAGAGAGAAGCTATGACCTTGTTTTCAGAGAGACCAGGACATTCTCCAGAGGTTCATTGGAAATATAGCAGTGTTCTGTCACTTATCTTACTTTATCTGTAACAATTTAGCCCCTCCTCCAATATTTTAAGTTTTAAAGCCCAACACTTCTAGGATAGGACTTCAATTCACTACAATGGAAAATGGTTTTTTTTCAAAATTTCTGAGAACTGGGAAATCTGTACTTGAGCAGCATCATTTTCCCGAATTCTTTCCCTAGTTTTTCCAACCAATAAACAGCAATTTTCCTAAAATTCCATGAGTTAAATAAACACACAAGCATGCATGTGTATGTAGACACTCATACACACACACACACACACACACACACACACACACACACACACACACACGTATATGCTGTGCTATATTAACATGCTTTAAATTTAAACAATGCCCGGAAGAGAACTTTCAGTTATTTAGTAATTGAATCTTATTCCATTAGCTTTGAAGGGAGGAGAAGGGAAGAAAGTGTTATGGAAACTGACTTGACAAGGAAGTGGTCAGCACTCAGAGGGTTGGAGACTCAGGTATTTTATTTTGCTGGTGGGCCCAGACGAGCTAGCACTCCAAGATCTGAGCCCCGAGCTCCAGTGTTACAGGGTTTATATAGGCAAACTCTTCCAGGATTTAGATTTCAGTTTCTCAGCACTCATATGCCTAAGGCAGATGTAAGTTTCTTCTTCTCAAAATTCATGTGGTTGGGCAGCACCTAATGTGATAAGTAGGCATGGTTACAGAAGCAAGGAATGTAAGCAGTTTATTAACAGCTAAGCTGATGCAATAAGCAAATACTACTTCAAAGGCAAAATAGGCCACTCAAGGAATTAATTTTGAATTTTCCCAACATTTCCCCCATTTGATGCTCTCTCTAAACTTTGGAGTGAGCATCACCTTCAGATTCTCTGTCCTTTAGGGGCATATAAGTATATCCTTGGGATGACAGGACCATCTGTAATTTGATTGTCTCAAGGTGGGCAGTAACAAAGCATACAATCAGGTTTAGTATGCATGGACCAAAAAGCAACATTAGGAGGATTATTATAATTGGGCCTAGGAGCAGCAGGTTCCAAGTTCATATGGAGGACTCTAGGGAGCAGATCCAGCTCCCAAAACCCCTGTCAGCCCCAGCTCTGGCTCTGAGGTCATCTATCATTTGTTTGTTCTTTTTTAGGATTCCTAAGTTTTCTTCCACTAGATCTGAAGAGTTTGTATAAAAGCAACAGGTTTTGTTAAGAATAGCACATAGTCCCCCCATCTGAGCAGTGAGAACATCTAGGCCTCTTTGGTTTTGTAAAGCCATTTGGACTAGAGAATCATTCCTTTTGTTGGAATTCAATGGCCGTAACAGTTGCTTTCCAGGATCTTTACATCATAATGATTAAGTTTAACATAGATCTCTCTAGTAGTGGTATTCCTGTAAACCAGAACAAGCCCCTCCAAATGCTATGACTTATTCCAGGTCTCTCTATGATTGGATTATCTGTAGCATGCCCTCCCCACTCTGTGTCTTCTTCTCCCTCAGGGAGACTTTTCTTAACTCTAGGAGAGGACAGGGCTCTTTCTAGGAATGAGCCCAAATTTAAAACCTGTCCTGACATAGCAAGCTCTTGGTTCTTATGGAAGGTTAGCTGGGGAGAGTGAACACTATCCCACAACGTCCCCTCCACCTGGTGAGAAGGGCAATCCACAGCAGGTTCCCACATTTAAAGTAGCATCCCGTGCCCATGGGTGTCATGCCAGTAGTCTTTTCTCTTATAACTGCCTTTGTGAAAGATATTTTTAAATGGTAAGGCCCCTGGTGGAGGTCGACATCTTCATTCCACCCATTGGCAGGCCCTACAGGTATCCACATGTAATGGGCACTGACAAAGAGTGCAATAAAGTTTTCCCATCCTTTCTTGTCTCTGCGATCTGGACTATGACACACTAAATTCTGGAACACTAGAAACAATACATTTAAGTTTTCCCATACAGCAGCTGAAGGGGATGGGTCGTGTGGATTGGAAGCATTTGCTGGCCAACTTCGCCCTGTCTGTGGCTCTAAACATAGGGCTAAATTATTTCAGTTATGGGCAGAACTAGGAAAGCAAGCCACTTGTGACTGATAAGCCCGAGTGTGACTTTTCTGAATGTCTCCCCAGGTCAGGTTGTAACTGTTACTGCTGGTATTAAGGGAGTTTGTGTTTCCCTGAATTTCCCAGCTCAAATTATTCCTGAAGAGCAACATGTAGTTGCACAACTATCATTTATATTTCCTACATCATTTCTTGTGTCAAAAGGAGCATCAAAACATAAGGCCAGTTTTCCACCTCTAAGATGGTGGACTATTTCTACTGCGAGTCCCAAAAATGGCAGCTCAGCATATGGTGGTCCCCTATTCCCACTGTGATTATAAAAAGTTGCTGAGTAGCCACTGATTCTAGCTACCAGGCAACTCTTTATAATAGCTAGGTCTTCCAGCAGCACTTGGCATATGACTAGTGACAATTCTGGCTTGGTGTACTGAAAGTCCTCTCTTAGATAAGCCCTACATCAAATCTTATTAGACATCCTTGCCATTTTAGATACCACTGGTGCCCATGGGTGGCTGGATGAGGCTTCCCTGAGAAATAGTGCAGGGAGCCAAATGTTTAGAAAGCACACTACCACCATGAGGTGGCTAAGAAACATCCTGTTGACAGGAAATAGAGGAGTATAAGCAAAAACTTTTCTATACTATTCCAATCTTTGGGGTTACTTCTGTCAATCATAGCAAAAAGCAAAACAAGCAAGACAATGAAAACTGAAGTCAAGGTGTGACGTATGCTTATCATCTCATGAAAATAAATTAGTGTTCTTGTTAGGTAACCTGGCAGCAAGAGCCACAGGACTTGGTTGTGTGTGGATCAGCCAGCCCACAGAGTGGCTGAAGCAGGGCAGTGATGATCATCAGGGTACCTTTGGAATGGGACCTTGAATGGGTCAGAGGGGTCAGCCTTCATGGATCACAAGGTGGCGTTGTCTGGATGTGCTGCCTATTTCACTCATGTATGATGGATCCGCGCAACTAAACCTGCAACCTTAACTGCAGTAGGGGTAGTTAGTACAACTATGTGCATCCCTGTCCAGATTGGCTTTAAAGGACCCTCTTCCAGTCTTTTAAACATCCTGTGTCACTGGGTTGGAATTGGCACACCAAATTTCCTTAAAGAATGGGAGTTCATTCTAAAATTGTCTTGGTTGTCTGTCAGAAGGTCCTGGCCAGTGACTGCGAGTACTTCAATATTTCCATCTCCCCCAAGTGGTGGGGATCCCCCTACAGTATAGCTATAAGTGGGGATGGACTCCCATACATGATCTCAAAAGGAGAACATCCTGTTGTCTCCAACAAACACCAAACCCATAACAAAGCTAAGGGAAGCATGTCTATCCTGGGTAACCCTGTCTCCTGGCAAAGCTTGGCTAAAGGTCTTTAGGGTCCAGTTCATGCATTCCACTTTCCCACAGCTCTGTGGCTGATATGCTGTGTGAAGCTTCCATCATATCCCCAGCATTTTGGCCAATCCTTGAATGACCTCTGCAACAAATGCTGGCCCGTTGTCCAATCCTATAGTCAGAAGGAACCCATATCTTCGGACAACTTCCCTTAAAAATGCCTTTGTAACCCCCCAGGTTTGCACCGACTGTGTGGACAGTGCCTCCATCCATCCAGTGAATGTATATATCATTACTAGCAAATATTTGTAGCCCCTGCAGGACTTTACTTTGGTGAAGTCCATTACCAGGTCCTCAAAGGGTGATGTCCCAACTGGATGGACTCTGAGGGCTGGCTGGGGCTCTTGCTTAGCATTGTTTTGGATGCAGGTTAGGCATCAGGAGCTGGACTGTGCACAGAAGGAAGCCAATATTGGGATGAAATAGTAGTGACCCAGCATGGTCTCCAGGGCCATTTTTCCCCAGTGATTAATTTCATAATACTCCAGGACTAGTCAGTGGACAGGTCATTGAGGAATCATCAGTCTGTGGTCTGGGATCTTCCACCATCTATCGGGGGTTTTAATTCTACCTTCTTCCTCTGATCGTTGACTCTTCTCCTTTGTGTACTTTAGTTGCTGTGCTCTCTGTGGCACCAGCATGATTTTGGCAGTCTCATTCAGGCCTTTTGCAGGCTCTGTTTGAGCAGCTGCTCTCCAGGCCATCTGATCAGCCAGCCAGTTTCCTTCACTAATCCTGTCAGTGCCTTTTTGATGTCCTCTGAATTGTATAATGGCCACTTGGGTGAGCTCCCATACTGCTTAAAGGAGCTGGAGAATTTCTTCCTTATTTTTATTGTCTTTCCTCCTGCCATCAGTAGGTCCCTTTCTTTGCATAGGGCCCCATGGATGTGTAAGGTTGCAAAGGCATATTTAGAGTCAGTGTAAATATTGACTCATTTTCCTTTTGAGAGTCTGAGTGCTTGGATAGTGCCCATAGCTCTGCTTGCTGTGCTGACCAGCCTTGGGGCAAGGATTTTGCCTCTATAACCTACCTATGAGTCGTTACTGCATGTCTACCTCTTCGTTGTTCTTCCTGAATGTAACTGCTCCCATCTGTGAAGAGTTCCATGTCTGGGTCAGTCAAGGGCAAGTCCATCAAATCAGGCCTGCTGGAGTATATTTCATCCATTAGCTCTTCACAGTTATGGTCCAGGGAGCTGGACTCAGCAGGTAGGAGCATGGCTGGGTTCAGAGTCCACATTGTTTCAAGGCACACCCAGTGATTTTCACAGATTTTCCTTGATAGTGACTCATCCTGGAGTTCATCAGCCATTTGTATCCCTGACCATTCATTAGGGTGGTCACCACATGTGGGACCTTTACATTGAGATCTTGTCTCTAAGTGAGTTTTTCTACCTCTTGGATTAGGGTGATTGTGGCTGCCAAGGCCTTCAGGCAGGGTGGCCAGCTGGCTGCCACAGTATCCAGTTGTTTGAACAAACATGCCACTGGCTTCTTCCAGGGCCCTGTGGTCTGGATGACCCACACAGCCATATGATCTCTCTCTTGTACAAAGAGTTTGAAGTCCTAAGTTATATCTGGAATTTCAAGAGCAAGAGCCCAGGTTAACAGAGTTTTGATTTCTAAAAAGTCATGCTCTTTCTTTTAACCCCACACTAGGGGATCCTTTTCAGCTACTTTGATTGCCTGATACAGGGGATTAGCCTTTTCCAATCATCCTGGTATCCAGATTCGACAAAAGCTGCAGCCCTGAGGAACTCCTGGACTTTCCGCTTAGTGTCTGGTTGGGATATAGCACAAATGGCTTGTTTCCTCTCTATTCCCAGTGGGCAGCATCCTTCGGAGATGTGGTACCCTAGGTACCTGACCTTCTGTTGACATATCTGGGCTTTTCCCCAAGACACCTTATATACTAAGTCAGAGAGCAGGCTCAGTAGGGCTCTTGCTCCTTCCCAGCAGTCTTCCTATGTGGGACTGGCCAGGAGGATGTCAGCAACATATTGAAGCAGCATGCAATTTAACCTGTCTCCTGGGAAAACAGCCAGGTCTGAGGCTAGTGCTTCTCCAGAGTGTAGGTGAGTTTTTGAACCCTGTGGCAGTCTAGTCCAAGTCAATTGAGCCTTTTCTTCCTATGCAGAGGTTTTCACATTTGAAGGCAAACTGGCTGACTTTTCGGTGCAAGTCAGAGGCAGAGAAAGGTGTCTTTGAGGTCAAGGCAGGAGAACCTTCTAGTCTGTTCAGGGAGTAGACTCAGGATTGTGTAAGGATTGGGTACCATGGGGTGGAGGGTGACAGCTACCTTGTTCACAGGGCACAGGTCCTGGACTGAATAGTACCCCTTTCTGTTGGGCTTTTTGACTGGCAGGAGTGTTATGTTCCAAGGCGATTGGAATTCCACCAGTATTCCTGCTTCTTGTAACCAGTGGATGTGTTCTTGAATTCCCAGTTGAGCTTCCTGAGGGACTGGGTACTGTTTTATCCTGATCAGTGTGGCCTGTGGTTTCAGCTCTATAATTATAGGGGCATGGTTCTTTGCCATTCGCAGGGGTCTCAATTGTGCCCAGACAGAGAAAAAGTCTCTCAAGATGCAGTCTCTTAAGAGGTCTGATGGTCCTGTGTTTGAGTATTTTTAGGCCTTGGTGTATAGGTGCCATTCCTCTTCCCTGGGCAACATTACAGCCATCACTAAGGTCTTCTGGTTCTTTAAAGTCAAACAAGCTGCTTTCCCAGGTGTGAAGGTTATTTGTGTCCCTATTTTTCTCAGCAAATCTCTTCCTAGTAGGAATACTGGATAGTCAGGCAAATATAGGAATTCATGAGTCACTCTGTGACCCCTGAGGTGACAAGTCCAGGCCTTGCAGATCAGCTGGTCTGCTTGTGTCTCTGTAGCACAAATAATGGTGGCTTTTTGGCTTGAAAATGGAGCCACTGTGCTGGTGACTACATAATGTTCTGCCCCAGTGTACACCACGAAAGTCATAAGTTGGCCCCCTACCATCACATTGACCAAGGGCTCCTAGAGCCCCAGAAACTGAGAGCCTGGTCTTTCCTAATCTGAGTCTATCCCTGTAAGGCCAGTGAGTTTCTGGAACTCTTGGCTTGAAGGTTCAGGCTCATACTTTTGCTTTCCAGAGTGTGTCTTGACTTGGAACATTGGTTGGGGTTTCTCCCCACTTTGTGGGCATTCATTTTTCAGTGGCCAAGCACCCTGCAGAAAGCACACTGGTTGGACTGTAGGGGTGCTCATCCTTCTTGTCAGAGGCTCTTCCTCTTTGATGTGGCATTCTGGTATGGATTGAGTGCTGCTGCCAAGAGTTCTGCCTTCTGCCTTAGGCATTTATCCACTTTCTTTGGGCCTCCCGGTCCCAATTGATGAATACCTTGTTGACCACCTCTAATAGCTGTGTGGCATTTAACCTAACAAAGGCTTCCAGCTTCTGAAGTTTGCAATGGATATTGGCACAGGACTGGGCCACAAAGACTGTGTTGACCACCTGTTGACTCTCGGCTGCCTCAGAATCAAATGGTCTGTAGCCTTTCATAAAACTCTGCAGGTGGCTTGTCCAGTTTCTGGGTCACGATGGTTGTTTTTGATATATTAGTAGGTTTTCTGGACCCTGTTCATAGCCATTGGGGAAGTGCCTCCCTATATTGATGCAGTTGATTTCTCCCTTCTTCCTCATTGAACTCCCACTTTGGCATAGTGTCTTGTGTGGCATCTCTTGCCCAGTTCTCAGGATCCATGGCAGCTGTGGGGGCATGCTGTTGCAACCATTGCCTAGCTCCTGTCAGGATGTGTTGCCATTCCTTGGTACTGAAGAGGGTGAAGAGTAACTGATGACAGTCTTCCAAGGTGGGCTGATGGGTGAGGAAAATTGATTCCGGGAGACTGAGGAGAGCCTGAGTTTTTTCTGAATATGACAGAGTATGTTGTTTCCAGTTTAGGAGATCTGTGATTGTAAAGCATTGATAGTAGAAGAGGGAGCACGATGGCTGTACACTGCCATCTGGATTGATCTGCTATGGACCTCAGGTCTCCCACAAGGGCATCTGGAGGGCTGGAACCTGTTGGGCAGAGTGGAGTTGCCTTCCCACCATCTCAGTACTCTCTGGACTCTCTGGTAATTGATGGTGGTTGGGCCAATGGATCCAAAGCCAGGGAGCTGTCTGCAAGGGGTGCCTGGGGCCAAGTGTTCCTGAAGGAGTGGGGTATGGTGTAGGCAAGAGTTCTTCATCTGGATCTCCTTGATATATGGGTCTTTTTGTTTCTTACTGGTTGTGCTCTGACTTTCGAGCTGCTGATGCAGCGAGAACCTTACATTTTCCCTCATAAACCCAGAATCAGACCCAGGGTGGCAGGGTCACAGCTATCACCAACCAGAAGTCTATGTATGGAAATTGATCCAGGTGCCCTGGTTCCCCTCTTCCAACCTCAAAAACTGCTCAGACGTTTGGGAAGTCTAGGGTCCCTTCTGAAGGCTACCCAACCCCAAAGGTGTGCCATTCTAATTCACATAGTGTCCAGAGTTTCCCAGGGGTTATTTTAATTCCATACTACGCAGAGTACCCCTTTTGAAAGTTATTTAACATACAATTAGCGATGGTAGGTTTTTGAAGCACTTGTCCCTATATCTGATTTTACACTCCTGTTCCTGCATCATGCATTTATATCCCAAATAGCATTGGTGCTGCCACTTAATGAAGGTTCAGAGTTCCCAAACTTCTATCTCATATACTGGTGTAAGAAGTTTGCAGGCAGCTAGGGAATGCATGGGGCGGGGGTGGCAGTCCCTATTTTACATGCTGGTTAGCAGGGTTTCCTGGTGTAAGGGAAATGGCAGCCTTTTATTACCTGGCAGGCTGGGTGGCTTTGAAGTGTCTGTTTGGAGATCAAGAGCCCATAGACTAGGGCCTCCTTGCCACAGACAAATGACTCAGCTCCAGGGGAATAAAGGTGGTGGGGAAAGAACAGACGGTGACAGAAAAGGTGTATTAGAATATGGCTCCAGTCTGGATTCCCTACTCGGTGGCTGAGTATAGGCTCTACCCCTGGTTATGTGTGGAACTCATTCATGGCGAGGGGAAATTTATGGCAGAATGGACAGTGGATCTTCTTTAGTAAGCAGCACAAAAGGGTGTGCCACTTCTCAGGAGTCAACTAAACATCACCTAGGTCTGAAAAGAAGTGTCTGCCTCTCTTTTGGGGGCACCAGAAGTGCCTGGAGATAAACAAGGGCCTTTTATCCACCACATGTGGGAGACGCCCTCCCAGACCCCTCCCTGCAGTGGGAACGCAAACAGACAAAGGGTGGGGATTCCTTCTCACTCATGGAAGGGGAAGCAATCTGGCCTCTGCCTGGCCACATCCCCAGGGGGACTTTAGGTCTGTCTTGTCTAAGCTATACCCATATAAATCCCAGGCCTGGTCTCAGTCTACCCTGAACCAGAATCAGCATTATGCTGTACAACGTGACCATAGAATTGCAGGTTAGGACCCACTCAGAAACCACAGCAGACTCTTGGTTCTGTACACAAACATTCACACACACTCACACAAAAGTTAAGATACTTTTCCCTCCCCCAATCCTGATCTAAACTGAACAGAGGGATCTCGTGAGAAGGTCCCGACCAGATGGGCCTTACTATAAGGCCCCATACTGATGGACCGATAAGGTCCAGACCAGATGGACCTCACTACAAAGTCCTTAACACAGATGGGTCCTCAAGGAGACCCTTTTGGGAGGTGATCAAGCTCCCCTTCCACCCAAAGTGGGCCTGAACTGAACTGATGATTTAGGGGATTCTACTTGTCCTGCAGGTGGCAGGGGTCTGACTAGTCCTTCTCTCTGTTGAGTCCACTTGGACAGGCATTCCCTAGGATTGGCAATGTCCTAGTCTCCAAAGTCCCAACAAAGATGTCCAAGCAGCACCTCCTCAGTCCTCTGTGGCATTGCTGATCTTCCAGTTCACCAGATCCAGACCAGTGGCTCAAGGGGCCGGTCCAAGTCGCTTCTCTGCCAATGCACCAAAATGTTATGGAAACTTACTCACCATGGAAGTGGTCAGCACTCCAAGGGTTGGAGACTCAGGTATTTTATTACACCCATGGGCTCAGATGAGATAGCCCTCCAAGTTCTGATCCCCAAGCTCAAGTGTTACAGGGTTTATATAGGCAAACTCTTCCAGGATTTAGGTTTCAGTTTCTCAGTACTCATATATCTAAAGCAGATGTAATTTTCTTCTCAAAATTCACATGGTTGGGCAGCACCTAATGTGATAAGCAAGCATGGTTACAGAAGCAAGGAATGCAAGCAGTTGATTAATATCTAGGCTGACGCAATAAGCAAATACTACTTCAAAGGCAAAACAGGCTACTGAAAGAATTAATTTTGAATTTCCCCAACAAAAGTATGAGAGAAAGAGAAAGAGAGAGAAGAATTAGGACAAGTTTATTTGAAAAAAGAAGATATCTAAGAGGGGGATGGCATGAGAGATCTTCCATTTTGGGCCTGAAGAGTCAACCACAAGTGTTGCTACAATTCTACCATGATCCTTGCTTGAGAGATTTCCAGAGAGATGGGGCTGGAAAAGCCCTGGGGTGGCAGCACTGCCTCCTCTTTGTCACCACCACACCTCTCCAGTATTATATGATTCACAGGAGCCTCCTACATATGTTAAAATAAAATGTCCATAGTGTCTGTCTTTGGATTTTGTGATTTAAATTATTTTCTTTGTGCTGTTCTACAGTTTCTACAATATGGAAATAACTCAAATATTAAATACTTAAAAATGATCATTCAGATGCTGTTAAGTGCTAGAAATTCAGGTCTCTTTGGGTCCAAGAGGAGCTCACATTTGAAAGAGTTTCTCCCCAGAATTGTTAGTACCTAAAAAAAAAGAAAAGTTATTTTTTTCCTGATTATATAAACAATATTATTATTTAGATGAGTTAAAAAAAAACAAAAATAAAATTAAAATATGTATGTATATTTTTTTTGTGTGTATACAACAACAACAACAAAAAAACCAAAAAACAAAAAAACCGGGAGGGGGGGGAGAGGAAGATATAACAACCACAATTTTTTTTGAAGTTCTTACAACAAGCAAATGGAGGGGACACACTTGGGTGGGAGGGGGGAGAGGGAGGAGGGAGGGAGGTTTCGGTGATGGGACATAATAATCAACTACATTGTATATTGACAAAATTAAAATAATAATAAAAAAATGTATGTATAAACTCATCATTGCATTACCTAAAGTTAATCAATATTAATTTTTATGTATTTTTCTTTCAATTAAACAAATAATAACAATAATAGTGGCTAAGTGCTTTCTTGCCAGACCAGTTTTAAGTATTAAGCATACTAACTAATTTACCCTTCACCCAACCCCGTCTCTAGGTATATAATTATCTCCATTTTATGAGTGGAAAAATGGAGGCATTGAACAATTAAGTAACATTGCTAAGATCACATAGATAGGGATACAGCCAGGATTTGGGCCCAGGGGGCATGGTTCCAGAATTTGAGTGTTTAACCACACTTGGCTGCTTTCTTTATGCATGTATGTGTGTTTGTGTGTCACACTGGACACATGACTCATGGATGTGATCAATATATAACTTAAGGCTTATAGCTCACAGCTGTCTTAAAACCCAGTCAAGAGAATAAGTGGGGTAATTTTCCTTTACCATTGGGTGATCATTTTTGCAGATTCTGTGACTATTTTATGTCTTCTCCCCAGTGAAACTCCTCATTATGAAGCCCCAGACCCAACGTTTATCTTCTGCTTGAGTCAGATCATCTCCTGTCTATACCACCCTAATCAATTCTAGATTTTATCAAACGTAATCTATTTTATCCATTTGAAAAAAAATTAAATTATATTTCTTTCATTATTTGAACATCTTCTATAGTAAGAATGTTAGTCCTCTTTCACATATGGTGCAAAAATTCTTCCATTTTTTAAAATTTGCTTTTGAAATTTCCTCCCATATAGGCTATTTTAAATATCACCAATCATTTTCTCAGTGGCTTCTGGATATAAATATAAGTGACCTTAAATATAAAGAATGCTTTGCCTTCAGCAAACATTATTGAGGTTGAAACACTGAGCAAGATAGAATCTGGGCCCTTGTGGAGATTGCAATCCAGTGGGAGAACCAGAAAAGTTGAATAATCATAGCACAGTGTGACAAACACAGAACAAAGTGCTTTGGATTCACAAGGGAGGAATTCTCTGTGCTTCAGGGACTCCTGGTGGTTTGGTAGTTTCAGGGAATGTTTCACAGAGTTGAAAATCGATAGGACTGAGAGTAAAGTGAAAAGAGAAGAAACAGAAGTGGTGGTAGGAGGTGAAGCTCAAGAAGGAGGAGGAAGTCACATTGTCCACATCTTTTCCACACTTTAGTCTTGGATTTTATCCCATAGTGATGTAGAAAAAAGGCCTCCCTCATACAATCTTGTCTCTTTCTTGTTCTTAACCTCCAACCTCAACTTTGCTCTATCTACCCATCCTGGACCACCTGGGATTCCTCAATGTAGCATGCTTTCACATCCTGATTTCTGGTCTTCCTCCTGCACTTGAACTTTGGTGCACTAGTTCTTCAAATGTCAGCTTGGGCATCTTCAAATCTTTATGCCTTCCTCTCCAAAATCAGAGCAGCTGTTCCCCTTACATACTAGTATGTATCCTGTGATGCTATCTACAGAATAAGCTATTTAACATCATGCACTTTTAACCCCAAGTAAGTAGCAATGTCTAACAAATAGTAGGCACTGGATGAATCTTTTTGATGAGAAATGCCCTCATTTGTCCAGTGACAAAGGAGGGACGCAGCAACATGAGGTACAGTGAAGCAAGACATTAATGGCAGTCTTGCAAGATTGGGTGTCTGATGGGCAGGCATGCC